GTCATCACGTGAAATTTCAACTTGATTGGCTTAATAATACGAGAGAAATTTACATTTTATTGCGATGTATTTTTTTCCGATTACTTTTTTCGACCACTGTATTTGTTTTATGGAATCATCACGAGCATATTGACCGCCAATTCATTTTCTTATAATATTCGATCATGTGATAAAATTATTTATATTTTAAGAACCTAAAGCATTTCAGCTTTAATAATTGATGTCTAATAGGTTCTCGGTAATTTTAATAATTTGCAGATAAATTCTGCGGAATTGGAAAATTGCGTAAAAATCTTAAATATTTAGTTATGACGAGATTTATAATGTTCTTTCTTGAACAGACTTTCAAGATAATTAAAAATTTATTATGGTGCACTCGAGAATATTATTAAATAAATAAAACATTTTTTTTTTATTTTTAAGAATGTTCATATAAAAATAAATAAGTAACAGTATATATTACATAGTACTGCAGAACTTGTATTTCACTTTCTAAACTGTTATCTTCACTTTTAAAACTCTTTTGTACCCTGCGACATTTAACATACTACTATCAATTTCATAATAAGCATCAGTATCGACAAAAATTTTAAACACAAATTGCTCAATTCTTTAGAGCTTACACATCAGTCCAAATATTTTCCTCAATATTATGCACTTCTCTGGAATTGATTACCTGGAACACCTCATAATCATCCATAATAAATGTACTACTAGCGGTAAAAACTTTTTTTTTGTATTTTGTTTAGTACAACTACCGCTAAACTATGACCGAATCCAATTTACATGACAAATCACGAATCGAATATCGAAAATTTTGCACCCTACTTAAATTCTTGTTCAAGTATTTGAAATTTGCGAACAAAAGATAAACGAACCGTTCGTCTGCAACCATGTATCTGATGAACTCCAGCTTAAAGATTATCTCCGATCACGGAAGCACTGACATTAGTACGAATAGTAGAAAAATGAGTTTTGGAGTTACTAAGGACACTACTACTACAAATCTCATTGACACCATCCTCATAATGTTATCGCAACTATAAAAATCTTCATTATCGCATAAGTTAATAACTTCGATAACAAGCACTTTAACTAATTACTAAGGTTGGATCTTTGTTGTCGCATAATTCATTAATGTCTTTACGTCTATACCATCTCTACTACCTTTCAACAGATATTAAAATTCAACTACATCTATTTTTTATACTGTTCTCGCCCATGTTTATTCAGCGTTTAACATACAGTACCGGCATATTTGGGATGTAATAAAGAATAAATCTTTTTGTTTTGAGTAAGCTCATTTTCTTGAAAATAAAACACTTCGTTTTAAATGAGAGGTAAGCTATTAAAATCACGTTGCGGACATATGATTTACTATGCTCGTAACTTGATTTTGATAGCAAACCTCCCAAATGTTGTAAAGTTCGTTATAACGGATTCTAATATTTTTTTTTTTAACTCGAAATATATATTCTTTATCTAGCAATTATAAAAGCCAACAGCATCGACTGAATTATTGATCGGAGACATCGGGACACTTTACATAGAAATCTATAGTCCTTCACATCCTTCCGGACTAATTAGTATATTTTTTTGTAGAGAAACCAATTATTGGACTCATAATTGCGCAATACTGCGCCACGATATTTTTGTTTATGCATACATTTATGCAAGGATTCCGATCCGTTTGTTTCACAGAATAATATGTAAAATGGAATATAGAAAAAACAACAGCGATCATAAGTTGCAATGCTCCTCTTTCTTTCAATAATATTAGTTTGAAATAAAATTTTCAATATAATATATATATAATGGCTCGTTATGATTTAGTTTATGCCGCGATGATTAAATCATTTGCATTAATAGAAAATTCTGAAAATTCTACTAATAATGTGGACAAAAATCATGAATCTAGAAAGAAAATAGTTCTTGCTGATAAATTTCTTACAAAAAGCGAAAAATCAGAAGCTATAAGGTTTTTGAATGAAAATCATAATAAAAATAAAATAGTTTATAATATAGGAGAAAAAAGATTATGTGAAATTTGCAAACAAGAATGTTTGGCAACGACATATTGCGAAAATTGCATTCGAAACCATTTAAAAGCAAATTTTTCAAATTGGACGTCAGATAATGACAATATTGATAATCTTATACGGAAGTGTCAAATTGAATCTTTTAGTCCAAAAAAGGTGGTTGAATGGATACCATACAATAATTTGCAGAATGTTAAATATTTGACTAAAGGCGGGTGCTCTGAAATTTATTCGGCCAAATGGATTGAGGGATACTATTGTAGTTGGGATGTTAAAAAAAGAGAATTAAAAAGAATTGGTATATGTAACGTGATCCTTAAAAAGTTAAAAAATGTTGAAAGTGCTAATAGAAGTTGGTTTGAAGAGGTATATTTTTTTTAAAGCATTATTTCTAATTGTTTAATCGTTATAAAACCGTAAATTTTTATATTACTTATAGGCAGAATCACATTTAAAACTAAGTAGCAAATGGAATGATTTTGTTTACTGTTATGGCTTAACTCAAGGTCCATCTAGTAAAGAATATTTTCTTGTAATGAATAAAATGGACACAGATTTAAGAAATTATCTACAAAATCATCAACAACTTACATGGAAAGAAAAAATTAAAATTTCTTTAGAAATTAGCCGTGCACTTTATCAAATTCATTTGGAAGATGCGGTTCATAGGGATTTTCATTCTGGAAATATATTATATTATCAAATTTATAATGCATGGTATATTAGTGATTTTGGATTTTATGGTCCTGCTGATAAGCCATTAAAATGCACTTACGGAAACCTTCCTTATATAGCTCCTGAAGTTATTGCCGGAAAGGAATATACCAAAGCATCTGATGTTTATAGTTTTGCAATACTTATGTGGGAAATTTCATCTGGAAAACCACCGTTTTATGATTTTGAAAATGATTATGAACTCGCAATTAATATTGTAAATGGTATGAGACCAAAAATAACGTCAGGTATTCCTTTAGAATATAAAGACTTGATGGAAAAATGTTGGAATGCTGATCCATCACAAAGGCCCGATATTTATGTAATTTGTAATAAAATATTTGGAATGAATAAGTTATATTATGAAACAAATAATGAAAAGAAAAGTATTTTTACTATTATTAAAAGATTCTTTAAGAAAAAAAATTTATCTCTGAAAAAAAAAAATTATAATACAAAAGTTAATAACCTAAATTTTAATCATACAAGCAGCAGCAAATTATTCATAAGTGAACTTTATAAATTTGAAAATTTTCCTGAACCAAGGAATGCAACAGAAGGTAAAATTTTAACAAATCATTTTTATGAATTATTACAAAATATAACTTAAATTTTATTATTATTTAATAAAACAGAAGAGCAAGAAGGTATTTATTTTTCTGTTTAATAATAAATTTTTAATAATATTTATTTCGAACTAGGTATAATAATATTATTTATCATAAAAGCATTTCATAGTAAACCATACGACTTTAATATTCCTGATAAAAGTGAGTATTGATATTTTAGGTTATTATGTAATATTTTATTAACTATTTATCATTTTAGTTGATGATTTTAATTTAAGTGATAAAACCTCATCCAAAACAATCAGTCTTTTTAAAGGTAAAGATAATATTAATATTAATATTTTAAAAAATAATGTCATTAAATTGTTTTATTTTTATATCAATTAGACAGAAGTAACAAATTATCCGAAATATCTAAAAAATTACGAATAAATTCAATTTATGGTAATTAGAATTTTATACTAAGCTATTTTTTTTTTTCGATATTTAATAGAAAGTTTTTATTTTAAAGTGAAAGCATCGCATAAAAAGAAGTTTGAAATTGACGGTAAATAGAATCATTTTAAATTCATAATAATAAATTCATATTCACATTTTAATCCTCTATTTTATAGATGACGAGAATGAATCATATAATAATTCAAATCTTCATTCAGAAGAGCAGAATGAATTGGAAATTCCTGACGGTAAAAGATTCGATTAAATATTATGTCTCTTATAACAACAATTTTAATGATTTTGATTTGTTTGATTAGATGGAACGATTAACCGCTGCCTTTAACCGACACCTTTTTCGCCGAAAGCAATTCGCTGACTTATATTTATATATTATTAGGGTATATTTAAACGGCATTTATACACGTTCAATTACAAATCAAACAAGTTATAATATTTTTTATTTTATAATAAGAAAATTAAAGCAATTTTAATATTATTAGATAAATAAGTAACCAAAGTAAACTTACAAAGTAATATTATGACCAATTTTTCTTAAAATTCAAATTCATTTGATTATTAAAACTGATAAATGAGAGTTTCATGGTCAATGTAACGTTTCGCTTAAATGACCAGAGTGCTCCACGAAGAACCCAGTTCATCTCGTTAACAACCGTTTTTGAGACTACAAAAGTTTATCTCACTGATATTCGTTTCACCTACAGGGAAGTTTCACTGACAGGATGGTTTCATCGATAGTTATTCCACAGTTAATTTTACCGACCGACATGTATAAATTATATTTTTCAAATTATTTAAATTTTTGTGAAAATAACAATTATTAAGGAAAAGCTTTTCATTAAATACATTTTATAAAGATACAAATAATAAATAAAATTCTTTTAATTTTTGTGGTAAAATAAATCGTCGTTGTTAATCGGCTAAAAAGTTAATGAAGAAATGATCCAATTAGGTTTAAGATAAACATCATGGCAACAACACTAAAGGTGAGTTATCGAAAGTCTAAATATGAATTCTTTAAGAAATTTAAAATCATTTTAATGATGAAACATTACTATTATTCCGAAGAGCAGTTCAAAGCCTGAAAGTAAGTGGACGATAATTTAAGATCAATCTTTCCGCATTAATAAACGACTTACAGATAACGCATGTGAAGTTATTGTTAAGTCAAACGTGAATACATGCAAAAGAAAGCAAAATTTTGACGCATATATGAGAGATTTACCGCACTTTTTTTTATGCACGGCAGGAGCCATAACGAAGGGGAGGGATGAAATTTTTGGCCAGTATATCGAAAGTCACGAAGCTGTTGATGGATATAAAATCTGTAAAGTCAGAAGAGTGGACAAACAATAAACATTTTATTTGATAAGCATACATAATATTTTTCTATGAAATCCGATGAACATTTATTATATTTGATTTTCGATACACTTGCAATATACTAAATTGACTTTAAAGATTTATGTAAACAAATTATAAAATTTATTAGTATAATCTATTTACTTTTTTTTTTGAAATTCCAAGCTGCAGCATATGTTATTACGATATTACTTGTACGGTACCAGTTTCAAAACTGAATTTGACACGTTCTCCAAATTTATAATTCGTGATTATTGTGCTGTAATTGTGTCTATTAATGACAAAAACAAGTGTTTTATTATCATTAAGCACATTTACCTGTATCAATCCACAGCCCTTGAAAATAACATCATTCCAACCGATAGTTTCATCATCAGCTTCATTTTCACCATCATTTGAACAGTGCTTTCACTGGATGCATCATCATCGCTCCATACTCTGTACCAATACACGATGCATGATAGTTAGAACATCCCCGGTAGATGGTCATCACAAATTCTCCTGACACACATTCCTGTTAACCCACAATAAGAAATTGGTTATTTGATGTGTTACAGATTACTTCATCTAGACAATTGTCCTGCAATAAGAATTCTGAAACACTGATTACTTCGAGTTATTACATTCGGAAGATGATATTCGTTCGATCCAGGACTTAGATTCGGGTTCTTTGATACCTCCTCTAGAGATATTCCTACGACTACGGCTTTGATCGCAACCAAAAAGAAAATGTATACCAATTGAGCGAACACATATTCTCCTTATTCTTTAGGAGAATGAAAAAGAAAAAGTAAAAGAAATTTAAAGCTACAAATGCTTTAAGATGTATTGTACAGTTGAATTGTGCTCGTGTGATCGTCCATAATTTCACCTAAAATGTCATTTCAGAAATATATCTCGTACATTTCCATTAGCTTCAATTAAAATTCATATTATTTTATATAATTCATAATATAATGCTTAATTGATTTCGATTATCTGGAAATGGAACTATACCATAAAAGGAAAATCTGTATTAAAATCAATAATCGAAATTTTATTAAAAAAAAGTTGTTAAAAATTATTTAATTAAGAAAAGTTTGAGAGCGAAAGATAATATACATCTTTAATTTTTGCAATGCAGTCGTTTATGATTATTATAAATCTTTTTCTTCCTATAAACAAAAATTTTTTTAACCTAAATTGAAAATAGTTAGCTTACCTCAAATTTTTCATCGTGCAACATTTAGTTTACAAAATTTAACATAGTTATTTTCTGTAAAATTTATTCATGTTAGACTTATAACTTTTTATTTAAAAAAAAAAAAAAAAAAAAAAATTCAAAATCTTTACTTGAAAAAATTATATTTCATACGATATTTCTATATTTATATTACGAGTTTTGAAAAAAAAATTTAAAATTGATATTTGAATGCCCGAATTCTTTTAATTTTGATTCTGCTATACATGTAATCTAGTTTTTAGATAGGCATTCACTTATTTTCTATGATGATTTTATCAGGGTTATATATGTTTTTAGTTACAGTGGCGATAAAAAGTATTGTATTGCATCACCTGAATACAAGATTTAAAATGGCACAGTGTTACAAAACTTTAATATAAAGTTCGTCATACCTAATCTCTTTCATCTTTTTTTTTAAGAATATATTTTTTTTTATTATGAATCTTTCGCCAAAGTGGCGATGCATTTCTTTTGATAGATTTAAGAAATAAACATCAATACTTATTACGCGATTTTTTTACTTCAAAACAACTATGCGACACATATAAAAAAGATGTCTTATGGCATTTTTCGCCTCTTTGTAATTTTATAAAATATCTATGGTTAATCTTTCTGTTGAAAAAAAGAGCTAGGATTTGTGCCTTATTTGACGAAGGTTTTCCCTCCCGCTATATAGCAAACATGGAAAATGTTTCTCAATCAACTGTTATAAGAACCAAACAACATAAAGATAAAACTGGTAACAATAAAGACCAACCTAAATCTGGGCGTATAAACGAAAAGTTTTGAGATTAATTACAACAGGTGAATGTAGCAATGCTGTTGCAATTCAAAAAAATTAAAAATAGAAGAACAAATTGAAGTTATGAATGTACAATAAAGAGAACCTTACATAGAAATGGAATGAGTGCAAGGGTTAAGTGCAAAAAACCATATCTTCGAAAAACACATAGAATCGCAATGATGAAATTTGCAAAAAAATACAAGTCATAGACAGTTGAAGATTGGAGTAAAGTGGTTTGATCAGATGAGTTAAAATTTATGATTTATGGATTAGATGGTAGAGAGTATTGTTGAAAAAAGCCAGGAGAACCATTACGCGATCATCATGTCAAACCTACAGTTAAATTTGGATGGGTAATATTATGGTGTGGGGATGTTTTACATCTGATGGGGCTTGTAACATATGCCAAATTTATGGACATATGAATGGTGATTTATATCGCTAAATATTAAAAGAAGACCTATTGGGAAACATCGCGTGGCATGGAATGGATAAGAAAAATATTATTTTTCAACAGGATAATGATCCTAAACACACTGCACATCTTAAAAAGCAATGTTTTGAAGATAATGGGGTTAAAGTTCTTGATTGGCCCAGCACAATCCCCTGACTTAAATCCCATAGAACACCTTTGGAATGAAATAGATCGTCGTCTGAGGCGGCTTGGAACACCTGTTAGAACACAGGATCAGTTATGGGATGCAATTCAAAAAATTTGGGTTGAGTTGGGATCCGATGTATGCAAAAAGTTGGTTATTACTATGCCAACTCTTATAAATGATGTAATTAGAGCTAATGTTGGCTATACAAAATGGTAAATAAATATTTACCAAAGTTTTAATATAATTGGATTGAATTTTGATTTTTTTTATATAATTATCAAAAGAAAAGGATCGCCTAATTGTTCAAAAATAAATATTTTTTAAAATTTTCTCTCATTACTATACAACGATTTTCATATATTTAATAGACTTGGTTATAATAAGTCTAATAAATAATTTATATGACACTGCGCCGTCCTAATCACAAGAAAATGCCATTTTAAAATTTGTATTCAGGTGATGCAATACTTTTGAGCGTCACTGTATATGACGAAACCTATGACGAAATTGGTTAAAACTTGGTTAAATTCCAAACCTGAAAATAATTAAACCAGTTTAGGACAAAGATATGAAGTATTTGTCAGGTTACTTTTAATAGAGTTATAAAAACAAATTTATATTCAAATGATTAATTCCTATGGAAGTGGATATATTTATATACTGTATTTATACCGGAGTCATTAAAGTTGAGTCTTTAACCAAAGATAATATAATATCGTTGTAGCTTTTTTGCTGCAAAATTACATTCTACTACTGGACCTTAATGGTTTAGGCTGTTAGAAACACTTTAAAAACAAATTACAATGATAATTATTCATCAGAATTGCTATCTGAAATTGTCAATTAGTAGAATATAATATTCTTTCGATTTATTGGTTGGAGGGTTTCAAATATTCCGTTAAATACTATCGAATTTGGTCGTTAGCTCTTATGAATATAAAACATTCATTGCAACCCCAGAATACGAAAAATGCAACCAGGTCACTTTTTGAATCAATTACCAACCCTAGAAAAAATAGAAAATTTTAAGCAAATTGATAATAAGCATATCCCAAACATCAAAAGTTGCCAAAATATTAGAGCCTTTAATAAAATTAATGAATTAAAGGCCAAATACTAGTTATAAACATAGAGCCATTAAACATTATCCCACTTGAAACGATTTTAATGTTATCGTCATAATATATTTTATGTAGAAATTGACGAAGCTGCCTGTGGATCAAAACTAATTATTGAGGATAATGGTCCATTTATAGCAAGGTTACTGTTAATTTAGATATGAAAAAAAGGACCTGTATTTGAATTTAATCATTTATTTAATGAGTTTAATGCATTTTAGAATTATCAATGCGTAATGAAGTATAAATTATTTATAAAGATAAAAGATTTTATTTCTAAAACATTAAAAAATTCGGTACAATTTCGTGTATAAACTCGATCCAAATTTTATATAAATATATTAAATATAAAAATAGAACGGGAATTGGGATGGGAATAAATTATATTCCTTTTACCAATGATGTAATTATATAACGACCTTTTCATTGAATAAATTTGGATATTCTTATATAAGATTACATAATTTGAAATATTTGATAATTCCGGCGTCATAAGTTAATCAGACATAAATAGATCATTCCCGATTAAATTCTATATCTGGTATAGTATGTTACTGATCACCTTAAAATCGACTAGAAAGAAATTAATTTTCTGTTAAACAATTCCTTTCTGTCCTCCGAGTAAATTTTTGCAAAATGTCAGCACAATTTCTTTCAAACTTGAGTCAAAATTATATTGAATTATTGGATGATGATGAA